CTGAATGTTGAACCTCCTGAACTGGTTTTCTGTTTTTCTTATAGTTTCTCTCATATTTTGTATCTTTTTGTTTCACTCTCTGGGAGATTTATTTCCTTCCTTCCTTCCCTCCCTCCCTCCCTCCCTCCTTCCTTCCTTCTTCCCTCCCTCCCTCCCTCCCTCCTTCCTTCCTTCTTCCCTCCCTCCCTCCCTCCCTCCCTCCCTTCCTTCCTTCTTCCCTCCCTCCCTCCCTCCCTCCCTTCCTTCCTTCCTTCCTTTTTTTTTGACAGTCTCACTCTGACACCCATGCTGGAGTGCAGTGGCATAATCTCAGCTCACTGTAGCCTCTGCCTCCTGGGCTCAAGCAGTCTTCCTGCCTCAGCTTCCCAAGTAGCTGGGATTATAGGAGCATGCCACCACACTTGGCTAATTTTTGTATTTTTGTGGAGATAGGGTTTCACCACGTTGGCCAGGCTGGTCTCAAACTCCTGATCTCAAGTGATCTTCTCACCTCAGCCTCCCAAAGTCCTGAGATTATAGGCGTGAGCTGTCGCGCCCAACCTTCCTAGGAGATTTCTTCATCTTTATTTTCTGACCCTATTGTTGAAACTTTTCTTTCCTTTTTGATAGTATTATTTTGTTTCATGGATATAATACAATTTCTTTTGTCTTTGAGGATATTAGTGATGAATTTTTATTTAAGTTTTAGTTTTCTTCTCCCTATACAGTCTTTTACTCCAAGCTCAATTTGTTTTGGCCTCCTGGTAGAAACTTTTTTTTTTTTTTTTTTTTTTTTTTTTTTGAGACGGAGTTTCACTCATGTTACCCAGGCTGGAGTGCAATGGCGCGATCTCGGCTCACCGCAACCTCCGTCTCCTGGGTTCAGGCAATTCTCCTGCCTCAGCCTCCTGAGTAGCTGGGATTACAGGCACGTGCCACCATGCCCAGCTGATTTTTTGTATTTTTAGTAGAGACGGGGTTTCACCATGTTGACCAGGATGGTCTCGATCTCTTGACCTCGTGATTCACCCGCCTCGGCCTCCCAAAGTGCTGGGATTACAGGCTTGAGCCACCGCGCCCGGCCCGGAAACTTTTCTTGGATGTCTGGTAGTCCTTTGTGATCTCCTAATGACATATTTAGATCTCCTAATGACATATTAAGTGAAGGGGACTGAAAAGCCCATTGAGTGTGATGGTAGGGCCTGTCGATGTATAGCTCCATTGAGGGGGGTCTGGGTGGGCCATTTGCTGAACCTCTGATTTTACCATCTCTAGTTCTTTCCCCTTGGGCTTGTCATTTCACTGTGAGAAGAGTCTTCTAATCTCGGGTCTAGAGGGGAAGGGTCTGATTGCCAGTGTCCTGGGAGCCAAGTTCTGGAGTGGCCCTCTGTTCCACATTCATTCTGTATTTAGACACTAACCCCCCTCTCCATTTTGTTCTAGAATCCCTGAAACCCTTGCTGTCCTCTGCCTGGTGTCCCTGATCCACAGACTCTTTGTGTCACACTCACAAGGGAACACCCTCTCCACAGCCCTGTGCTGAGAGGTGCACAGGAGTCACATGAGTGGGATCCAGCTGCTTCTTAAACAACTTTCATTCATTGATCTTCATTTTTCTCCAGCTCTTAAGCCCTTTGAGGAGTCAGTAATGGAAACTGGGTAATTCCACAGTGCCCCTTGCTGTCTTGAGATTTGACTTTCTTCGGCCTGCTAAGCCTCTTGCCATCCTGCATTCCTGCTTCCAGAACTGTGGCATTATTGTTTCTTTTGCTGTTCTCTCTGTCCTTGGGAATTATCTTTTTTAGCAGTGCATTTATTGTAGTTTTACTGTGGTTTAGCGGGCGCCAAATTAGGTGTGTGTCTTGGATCTACCATTCTAACCTGGAAAACAGCAGCAATGGTAACAGCAAACAGGACTGCTTCCTTCACGCCAGCCACTGTTCTGAGAGCTTCGTATAATAAACTCATTTAATTTATAAGTCTGACTAACTTATTTTTGCCAAGTCTCATCAAATTTCAGTTGGAAATCAAGACCCAGATGAAGTGTTTGGCTTTAGTCTGTTTATTTCACCTCTAATAAATTCAGGCAGAGGAAGAGAACTACCAGACCAAAGAGGAGACATATGTTTATCTCTCCCTTCACTTAACCTTGTTTTTCCTCTTGACTTTGTCCCCCAGAGGAGTGTGCTTCAGTTGCTGCACTCCAAGAGCGATGTGGTACGGCAGTACATGGCCAGGCTCATCAATGCTTTTGCGTCACTGGCAGAAGGTGAGACATCAGCTTTGCTTGAAGAGAAGAGCTAGGTCATATTGATTCCTTTTCCTTTGAAAATGAGTGTTTCTCCCAGGTTTCTTAGCAATTACGCTTCCTCAATTTGTTATCATTTAATTCGTCTAAGGTCTTTTGTGAAAATTAGTTGTTATCATATTGCTTTAGTTTATATCAGAGCACTTTTGGACAGTTTTTGGGTTTATTTTGTAAGCCTCCTGGTTTTATTTTATAAGCTTTCTGGTTTTGTAACATAGTAATGTTTTATATTGCTTTCAAGCATATCGCAGGTAATGAATGCACTTTCTACAGTTTTCTCTACTTAAGGCAAAATAAGTGAAACAATTACAGCAATATAAGCGTGGTGAAACAAAACAGACTCCAATAAACACTGCACCATTTCCTTCGGAAGACTATGACCTCTTAAATCAAAGGACTTGAAAACTCTGAAAATAATGTGCCCCCATAACTGAATTCAAAATGATTTGGCGAAGTGCCATTATCTTCCATAAGTTCTTATTTGTTTGAGCTCTTTATAATGTAAATAAAGGGAGTTTTCAAATTATGAATTTATGATAGTCTACAACTTAGTTCATTTGTTCATTCATTCTTCCATCCATTTGGCAAACATTTATGATAAGCCAGGATATGTTACTGAGGACCATTCATATAATAATACTGTTGAAACTTATGTCTGAAATTGACGTCTTCCATATCAATTCAGAAATCCACAACAGGCTAGTGACCATTCAGGGTTTATTATAGGGTCCCAGGTATGGCTTCCACCCTCCTCTCCAGGCCTCGTGCATGTCTAAAGGGAGCAGAGAATGTGGACGGAAGCACTCCTTGGCTGCCTGTATTGTGAAGGCTTAAGGGCTCATAACACAACATCTACCCCCCGTTTCTCCTTGTAGATCTGAATGTTGGGTTCAGGATTTCATGGGAAAAAAAAGGATGGTGCTCCCCACAAGAACACAGCAGTGAATTATGTGTAGCTCACAAGAAGAGTGGTTTTTCTAGTCATCAGATAGTTGATTGAATAAAACCAACTTTTAGAAGAAATATCTTTTAATAAATTTTGTGGGAGTTTTGTAGGTTTTATTTTACTTTATTTTATTTTATTTTTGACAGAGTCTTGCTCTGTCACCCAGGCTGGAGTACAGTGGCATGATCTCGGCTCACTGTAGCCTCGACTGCCCAGGCTCAAGCAATGCTCCTCCCGCCTCAGCCCCCCAATTAGCGGGGTCGACAGATGTGCATCATCACACCTGGCTAATTTTCTTTAGTTTTTGTAGAGATAAGTTTACGCCCTGTTGTCCAGGCTGGTCGGGAACTCCTGAGCTCAAACAGTCCACCCACTTCGGCCTTCCAAAGTGCTAGGATTACAGGCGTGAGCTACATTGCACAACCAGTAAGATTTTTAAAATTATTATTGTTATTATTATTTATTTATTTATTTGGGTTGGGCGACAGAGTCTTGTTCTGTCACTCAGGCTGGAGTGCAGTGGCTCAGTCTTGGCTCGCTGCAACCTCCACCTCCTGAGATCAAGCAATTCTCCTGCCTCAACCTCATGCAGTTCTCCTGCCTCAGCCTCCTGAGTAGCTGAGATTATAGGCACCTGCCACCACGCCCAGCTCAGTTTTGTATTTTTAGTAGAGACAAGGTTTCACCATGTTAGCCAGGCTGGTCTTGAACTCCTGACCTCAGGTGATCCACCTGCCTCGGCCTCCCAGAGTGCTGGGATTACAGGCATGAGCCACTGCTCCTGGCCCAGTAAGTTTTTTAGAACATAAAATTACCCAAACTCTACTGTGTTTTATGCAAAGTAAGTTTTCATGGAAAGTGGTTTTGTAGCATACCAGATAAATTACTTCTGTCTTTCACCTCTTTCATCTCTGGTGTATTATCAGGTCGCCTCTACCTTGCCCAGAACACAAAGGTGCTGCGGATGCTGGAGGGAAGGCTGAAGGAGGAGGACAAGGACATTGTCACCAGGGAGAACATTCTTGGGGCCCTGCAGAAGTTCAGCCTCAGGTAATGACTGTGTGGTAGGTCGTGGTGTCTTCTTTGAGATCACATTGAGTTAAAATTCCCATGACAACTCAGGAGGCAGATGGTATTTTTCCACTAACACTTGGGAGAGGTTGGATGACTTTCTAAGACAGAGCTAGAAAGCTTATCTCTAATCCACTAAACTATCCTGCTAGAGACTGCTGGGGATGGAGGAAGATGTTTTATTTTTTTCTTCGTTTATTTTTTTAATTTTATTTTCACCAGGGCCTTTGCTCTGAGAGGAAGGCATTTTAAAAGCACTGGTATATTTTCCTAATGGAAGTTATATAGTGCCAGCCATGCTAGATTGTGTCTTAGGGCATGTGCAGGGCTTAGAGACACACACATGAATAGGGCCCAATAGAGCCTCAGCCCTCAAGTTACTTCCAGTCCCCTGTGGGAGCCACACGTGTAAATGTACATCCCAGCAGAGTGTGAGAGACGGTCCTGTAGAGTTAGGGTTAGGGCCTCCTGACCTTGGCGACGCAACCTACCCCATCGGCTCAGCCTAGACCTCCATGACTTGGAACCTGTAGGGCCAGTCTGGTCTTGAACTCCTGACCTCAGGTGATTCACCCACCTCAGGCTCCCAAAGTACTAGAATTAACAGGCATGAGCCATCGTGCCCAGCCCCATAGGTTTCTTTTCAGTTAACAGCTTTATTGAGGTATATTTTACACACCATAATATTCCCCCATATCAAGCACACAATTCAAGGATTTTTGGGGTATTTACAGAGTTGGGCCACAATCATCACCACAATCCAGTTTTAGGACATTTCCATCATCACAAAAAGAAACCTCATACCCATTTACAGTCACTCCTCATTCCTACTCCCAATCCCTGATAGCCACAAATCTGCTTTTGGTCGATTGACTTGTACTGGACATTTTATATCAATGGAATCATGTAGCGTGTGCTCTTTTGTAACTGGCGTCTCTCACTTAGCATCACATTTGCAAGGTTCGTCCTTGTAGCAGCGTGCATCAGGGCTTCATTCCTTTTGTGGCTGAATGATACTCCATTGTGGCTACAACACGTTTTTTTGTTTGTTTGTTTGGTTGGTTGGTTTTTTTTGAGATGGTGTCTCGCTCTGTTGCCCAGGTGGAGTACAGTGGTGTGGTCTCGGCCCACTGCAACCTCTGCCTCCCGGGTTCAAGCTATTCCCCTGCCTCAGCTCCTGAGTAGCTGGGATTACAGGCACGCGCCACCATGCCCAGCTAAGTTTTGTATTTTTAGTAGAGACGAGATTTCACCATGTTGGCCAGGCTGATCTCGAACTCCTGACCTCTTGATCCACCTGCCTTGGACTCCCAAAGTGTTGGGATTACAGGCGTGAGCCACTGTGCCTGGCCTTCATTACGTTTTGTTTGTCCTTCAGTTGATCAGCATTTGGGTTGTTTGCACTTTTGGCCAATATGTATAACACTGCCATGAAAGTTTCAGCACAAGTCTTTGTGTGGACATATGTTTCCTTTTCTCCTGGACCGGCATCTAGGAGATGAATTACTGTGTCATATGGTAATTTTCTCAGAGTTTCCTTTGAAAATAATCACCTTAAGTTCTCTTTGACTTTATTAGAGAACTCTAGTACCTACGGAGTCTTCAGCTTTTTTTTTGTCAGTCCTCTTCTGAAGACAATTTCTTCCCATCAAATGTGGTTAACATTTGACCAGCTCACAAATAACCAGAAGCTGGCCAAGTGAATGGTCTAAGTGTGTGTGTGTTTGCTGGGGAAGGGATAGGTATTTGTATCTACCATTTGCCAATTTCCTACAAATGAAAATTCCTGTGCTAACTACTGTGTATGAATTGAAAAGAACTAAGTGATCTGCAGAGTCATACTTCCTCAGAGCATACAGACATTTCATTTCTGTTTGTTTGTAGAGAGAACTTTGCTCAATATTGACTGTTTTGGGGGTTTTTAGAAATTCAATAACTATAGTTAAGTGACAGATATAAGATATGGTGAAAAAAATACTTCCTCCTAGTAATGCAAATGTTTACTGCCTGTTTATTCTTTTCCTCCAAATGATCATTTAAGCTTTTTCATTCTGTAAAGGTGCTTAAACTTTCTGCAATTTTCCAGAGTCTCTGCAATAAATGGAGGAGGTAGCTAGTTACCAAGAGAGCAGAGTCTTTACTGTATTCTATGTTGACCCTGATTGGGTCAACATAGTGTTTAAGAACAGGATGGGCCGGGCGCGGTGGCTCAAGCCTGTAATCCCAGCACTTTGGGAGGCCGAGGCGGGTGGATCACGAGGTCAAGAGATCGAGACCATCCTGGTCAACATGGTGAAACCCCGTCTCTACTAAAAATACAAAACATTAGCTGGGCATAGTGGTGCGTGCCTGTAGTCCCAGCTACTGAGGAAGTTGAGGCAGGAGAATTGCCTGAACCCAGGAGGCGGAGGTTGCGGTGAGCCAAGATCGCGCCATTGCACTCCAGCCTGGGTAACAAGAGTGAAACTCTGTCTCAAAAAA